TGGACCCTGGCAGAGCAAAAGATGCAGAGGGACCTCTTTGTGTAACTCAGCTACTTTGCATGACTGGAAGGATGGAAGGATGATACTATATACAGTTGACAAAAGCCCGTACATTGCGAGCTAACAGCCATTTCTTCACAATAGCCACTGTTGTCCACTCTATGACATGTGGGCGATTCTCCTGCTTCAGACATTCATTTCCATGATTGGATTATGTTGATCCGAGTTGATTTGGCTGAGCTACGCTCATACAAGGTTACTTCAGTTGAGCAACATAGAGCATGGTTAGATGTGTGGATTGATGTAATCCCTCTTTGGCCGTATCTCGGTCAAATCAACTCGGATCAACATAATCCAATCATGGAAATGAATGTCTGAAGCAGGAGAATCGCCCACATGTCATAGAGTGGACAACAGTGGCTATTGTGAAGAAATGGCTGTTAGCTCGCAATGTACGGGCTTTTGTCAACTGTATATAGTATCATCCTTCCATCCTTCCAGTCATGCAAAGTAGCTGAGTTACACAAAGAGGTCCCTCTGCATCTTTTGCTCTGCCAGGGTCCACCTACTTGACAATGAACAAAGACCACTCTTCATATAGCATCACGCTTACAAACATAAAGGTGCCTGTATCTCCAAACGTTACAATGAAACGTGGGGTTTTGAATAGAGCAATGGACTCGGCTTGGCCAACTGCACCTTGTGTGAAAGTTTCACGTTCAATGTCGCAACTAGCCCAAAAAATATTTTTCTGGTCGTCGTCGTCGAAGAGGTCGACCCCCAGATCCAGTTTGGCTGGTAGCGACATTGCGAAATATGGGATTGGCCACGATGGACTTCATAGTTTGATACAAGTTCGCTTTCACCCCGCCGAGCAACATGGTTCTATTAAAGACCCCACATTTCATTGTAAAGTTTAGAGACTCAGGCACCTTTATGTTTTACATATGCTGTAAGCGTGATGCTATATGAAAAGAGTTCTTTGTTGATTGCAAAGTAAATAGACTCAGATAGAGCCAAAGATGCAGAGTGGCGTGTTTGTGTAACACAGCAGTTTTGCATGAATGGAAGGGGCCATGGATGATGTTGCCCATACACTATTTGGCAATAGTCCGTAAATCGCCAGCTAATAGCACCTTCCTCCCATTCATAACTATTTCCGAAACCATTGCATGTGGACGATTCTCATGATCCGTTGAGAATCACCACTACCTTTTGTCTACTACAAGCATGCAAGCTAAAAACCTTTAGCGAATGTAATAGTGCTGTGGCAAAACACAAAAGCATCTCGATGCGATGATGTACATGATCCAGCCTCGCTTTCCAACATTCAATTTCTATTTCCCTTTTCAATCCAGAAACCAACCAAGCGATCCACATTTTGCCCGTATGAGTTGATAGCATAATACCTCAATCATCATGTTGAATCCAAATCCATCCAATGAAAAAGTCGAAGAATAGCATAGGGTAGTGTGGATGTTTATCAAGTAATAAATGTGATAAAGGAGCAGCACTGAATATTGAATAAGATACGGGTGAATCTCGTAAAGGTAATAGGGGTCATTGTGTCATTGTATCCTTGGTCGTTGCCGTTATAAACATCCATTATCCATGATTCCAAATCCGCTGCTGCACGCATTGAATCGAGTATCCCAATACATACCATCCAATGGCTGTAAAATACCATTCGTCAAAGATATAAGACCATTTGTCAATTCCACCCAATCCATCATCGTCCTCAGGTGTATCCACGTGATATGGAACATCGATCCTGCTGAACACGCCAAGTAACCAAAGCAACATCCCCAGATCTCTTCTCATCACTGCACTTGATTGCGTTCATACATGTATAACCATTACAAGTCCAATATGAGCCTCTCTGATCGCTGCTGATATGCCTCCTTTTCCATCTTGCTGTTGATATACCTCTTTCTTGATCATTTTCCATGTTGTTCAACCAGGAGAAGATTGCTTGTATTGGAGCGACGTTGATAGCTGATATGGCATCATCCATTGGCATCCGTACGTATCAAAGCAAGTTGCTGAACGTAAATAAAGTTACCACTATACAACGGCTATATGCTGTTCACGTAAAAAAGGCTCCATGACAGGATGCTGCAAGCAAAGGATACTGTTCGAGAGTGAAGTAAAGACCTTCCTAATAACAACTGTTGTGGTAGAAGAGTGTGCAAGAGAGCGGGTGTTGTAGTACAATGACCAGATCCTCTCCAACAAAGAAAGAGTTACCTTACCATTTTCCCAATGCCCCAAGAGTACCCACCAACATCAATCACGAGAAGAGTATCGAATGGCCAAAAGGTACAGGTTGGGAGTCGAACCCAAAGAGATGATGCCCAAAGTTGCACTACCTGACCAAGAATCTGTTCAATAATAGCATCATCGATTATTACATTAACGTCTTTTCCATTGTCGTTGGTTACTGCACCGGCCTTTTTCATATACATGATGATCTCTGTTTGCCGGGTTTCTGGAAAGGGAAGCCATGGTGGGGTCCAATCGAGCCGAGACAAAAAGCCAATTGAGCCAACGTCCTTGCGATCTAATCTTGCTGTCTATACGCGTCAATGGAACAAGCGCTTCTGCCACAATGGGGCTTTGAATGTACCTGTTGCACCAAATGTGGGGCGGCATGGCAACGGACAAGAAGAGCAACGATATCACCTTGACTACGGCACTTGCACACACACACCCTGCCTATAGATACTCAGAGCTATATCAATATCTACCGATCAACAAGAGCATTACCTTGGAGGAATGTCGTGAGTAGGGTTAAATGGAGAGGGAGAAAGTGAAGCGTTGTCTCTCGAGTCAGCTGCTAATCACCCCCCCCCCAATCAAAATCATCTCCCTTCAGTGAGAGCCTACAAGTTAAATCCCCACTGGGATTTGCTCTGTTTTTTACATAGCCACTTTACGCACACACGTAGACATCAGTGATGTGCTTTGTCTACCTTTCCATGTCTCATTGACCAGTAAAGTTTTATTATTATAAACGTTGAAACGAGCTACATTTGTGGTGATAATACCATTGGTGATTTTATGCGCCTTTGCCCTTGACGTACGTGGCAACAACTTTGCCAAAGTTTTCACCTTGAGTTCTGGCAATGTCAAGCTCTTTCTCTGTTGGCTGGCGAGAACCATCACCGTTGCTGCGTATCCCATTGTATTAGCATACACGCATACCCGGCTATGTTTTGAGAATCATCACTTACGCAACGGTACCAGCACCATATGCAGAACCACCCACAACTTCAGAGTTGTCAAAAAGAGCGGTATGAGCGAAACCAAATGGTACGTAAATCATTCCATGATGGGCAAAGTATGTAATGGTTGTAAGCGATGTTGTTTCTTGACCTATAATAAAAGAGAACCCAATGATTACTTTTCGGTAACCCGCTCCCTACTATTGCAAAAGCCTAATTGCTTACCTCCATGTTGGGAAGCAGTAGAGAAAAAGGTGCCTGCAAATTTGCCTGACAACGCACCTGTAGCCCACAACTTGCCGGTGGCATCCAAAAGTCTATTGAAAGAAATCAATACATTGAATGTGATACACGCGTGTCAGCTAAACTTACGCCTTGATTTGTGCTGGGCAAGAACCAAATCGCGTTGGGATACCAAAGATGAGGCCATCAGGCTCGGTCAACTGCTCTACCGAAATCACCGGTAGATCGGGCTTGGCTGGTGCGTGCATTTTGGTAAGAATCTCATCAGAGAGAGTTTCGGCCACTAAAGTTATCATTTAGCTATCCCTCTGCTTCTTTGATCCTATCATCCCTCCTATCCTTTACCTTGGAACAGCTTAACTTCCACACCAACGGCTTCCAATCCTTTCTGTACCTCAAGAGCTAGCTTGTATACGTGATGGTAAAGGGTGTAAATTACAATGTAAACGGTGGGTGCCATGATTAGATATCAATTGGGGAAAGAAGAAAAGGAGAATTGTGTCGTTTTTTTCGCATGGATCTTTTAAAGTTGTCTCGTGCTCACTTAGTTTGCTAGGGTTATTCGGCGGTTTAGACTCGAACGTCCGAGGATAGTTTTCATGCAGATTGGTGATCGTCGTTCCCGTAAAAGATTAGGTGATCAATCAATCACGCGTCCGATGATGAGGAGGATACCTAGGTTATCTTTTCGACACCCCACCATGATGAATTCTTGATCACTCTGCTACCTTGAAAATTACGCTGAGCATAAAGAAGCATGATACCAAAGTCTTCAAAATCGGTGGTTCCGTAATAAACAAACATCACATTACGCGTTTAGCTTATTGTGGATGAGTTATACGTGGTGTTTCAAATAACAGATGTACCAGCACTTTCAGCGTATCATCTCCCATTGCATAGGATTGTGTTATGAAAGGCGAGTCATATGCATATGCTGTGAGCTTGCAATGGCACTGGCTCTCATTCCAAAAATTTCACCGATAACGCTGTTACCACGCCCATTTTGACACATGGGTATACCATGCTCCTTCTCTCGGCGCCACCTCCAGTAAAATAGATAGAGATACAAAGCGCGGCAATAATAAACGCGCTATGTCATGATTCTCAAACGTCACTGTTTTCCACGAGGACACAATGGCCATCCTACAAAGTCATGGTTTGGTACGTAATGCATTCCATCATGTTAAAAGTACGCGGGATAACGTATAGGCAATTGTAAGGTAGCACACGACTTTATGGAATATGGTGGGAAGGAGGATGCACTATGTAATACTCCGGTGGACATAGTCGGCAAAACGTTACTACATGGTGCAGTCTTTAGATGTTAGCACGTCATTCGCGATCTCATTTTCCTTCTTGTTGATGTGGGAAAGCTGCATGTTGTTTACATAGCAATGTCAACAATGAGCGAAAAAAGTGATGCATAGCCTAATTGTGCTCGAGATCAATACGAATTCTATCAATACATAGATGCCATTCTAAGCTACTGAACATCATTACAATTGAGCTATTATCCTTTTTCATCAAGTGCCCTTTAGAAATGCGGGGAAGAACGCATAGGCCTGTGTGTAACACGATGTGGATATGCCGCCCGTTTCGGGCCATATCGGGGTAACCCAACAACGTATCATGTATGGGGTACGCATTCTTTGACGTGGAAGGTGAACACCATGCACCATTTTCGGATTATTCCGGGAAATTGGATCTCATTACCTTTGCTTCTTTATCCATTGCTAATGCAAGCCTGAATGTGTATCCAAGCATAATAGCTATGCATGTTGGTATGCAAAAGTACAGGAGATCTCAAATAAAACCATAGCAACCCACGAGCAGCAGCATTGCGTGCTGAATGCAAAGGTGAAATATGCTCTATTGATGGAAATAGGCAGCATTACTTCTTACATTCATAATTCTGGTAATGGTTTATTATGCTTAGGATAAGGAACAAAGAAGGCATATGTACAAAAAGAGGTTGTTTAACAAAGAAATCACAAGAAAGAGACGTATGATACGTGTACGTCAAGGAGTTGAAGAAATAAGGTGGTCGAAGAAAGATCAGTGATGGTAAAGAGTAATCGAACATGCAAAAGGTGATCTCCACGCAGCTTAATCATCAAAGACGACGTTGACGGTAGGGCTAAAGGATGGTGTCGAGAACACAGGTTCTGAAGAAGTGGAGGTAACAGCTTCACCTTGAGCTGCGTAAACGGTGGTATTTGTCAAAGGCATGGCTTGAGGATGTTGACCAACTTCTCTGTCAAGGTAATCAGCCTTGGGCACCGATGTAATCACTGTGGAATAAAGACGGCTTGCAGCAGGACGAATAGCCATGGGCTTGGCAGTAGCGAGAGCAGCAGAGCGGATCATAGTAGGAGCGAGCATGTTTTGTTGTATATGGGTAAAAAAGATAGTGGTGTTGTATTTTGATCACCTTCACATCCTGTCACCCTTTTATATGTTGTAATGGCTGGTAACTCATCCGCGGGATTCGCCGAAAGGCTCGTTAGCATGGCATGGTTTGAAATCACAAAGTTGGATTGTTGCCGACCAAATCCGTTAATGCATGTCAGAATGAGCAAAGTCTATTCTTTTGATCAACCAATGAGAGAAAAGAGCGGCATACCATGTCCTGCCTTGCCAGGGGTTCTAGTAGAATCCATGCCACTCTCATATGCGCTATCGGAAACTCATGGAAATTTTCACCTGAATATCATTGTTATTCATTTGCCAATTTGGTTTTTCTTTGTCATGTATATAATGGACCTATGTTATGGTCGTCTTTTTTGAATGAGCACACTGCAAGTTGCTGTTTCTGCCAAGTATTGTCTGGACCACACAAGTAGCTCCGCACAAAAATTGGGGAGCGCTCACCCCCACCCCACTTGCTTTCTCCCATGGAGGTTCTTCCAAATCAGGTTTGCTACCGAGAATGCTACATTTGATACCTTGAGAGCTAAGGTATTTCCACAAATCAATTTGCTGCCTTGTCAATGATCCTACTTTTATGCTGATTTAAGTGGTGCGTGCATAATGTGAGACAACATCCACTACCCCTTTTCCAAAAAGGTTCCAGATAACGGATAACTCAATCATGTTGCTATTATATTTGCGAATGCAACATGTCGCCTCCCACTCTTAAGATAACCCCACACCAAACGCCTATCTATCACACAATCCGATGTATTCCGAATCCACATCCACATTCGAGACACCCAATGTATTCCAAGCTGTTGAAATCCAATCTAAGACAAGCTGATATCCTACAGCTGTACTAGCTCAAACGCCCTGAGTGGATGCATTACTAAGACCATAGGTTGTTTCTTGGCCGATAAGACAAATTGAGGATGCTGGTGAGATGCATGCGATACGCCACAGGGCATATGGAGCGCTACCGATCTCCAATGGCTGAGATGAAACCATAAGATAAAGTATGCAGATCTCATCGAGTTTGCAGCTCATCATCGCATAAGGTTGCTGCATGAGCTGACATTTCGAAAAGCAAAGGTGACATCATGGTTGTGATAAATGCATGATTTTGGTGTGATTTCACATGAAAGAATCCTTCGATTGTTGTATGCCAAGAGCATCCATGGAAAGCTTGGTAAGACTTGATGATCAGCGAGCTACTACAATTCCATAAATCATATACGCAAGAGTTCTCTGCATCCATGGCTATGTATCGTACGAATGTGGTATCATCCTTTGTAGCTTCACTATATCCCATCTCCATAGCTATATGCCTTTGAATACCTAATAGCTTTTAATTTGTTGATAGGATACTGATGTAGTGGGTAAATATGACTTGATAACAACGGGAGAGAATGGATATGGAGGTGGCAACGGATGCATAAACGTGGATGAAAAGTACAAAGAAAAAAGGAAAACGAGGTTAAGCAGCAGCGTGTTCTCGTGCAAGCCGCTCGTATGTCAACTTTTGGAAGCGTGATAAGCTTTGAATGAATCGCAAGCCCGTCTACCAGGAAACCAATCAATACATACTCCCCCTGTACCTTCAAAGACTCATACTACTTACAGGATTCCGAGAAAGCCGGTTTAACAACTCAACAGTGTACCGCCGTACTGTACTCGAGGAGTGATGTAAGCACATGGCGATGGGTGCTAATCCACCTTGGTATTGCGGTAAAAATGAAAGAAACTAGAAAAAGATACATAAGCAAACTTGCCATCCAAAGATCCAAGTCGTTTTACCCTTACCTCGATAATATTTCGGTCGTTTACGATATACTTGAGGAATGCGTCAAGGATGGCAATCATTTCATTGTCGGGTATGGTTTTCAACAACTTGAGCTTCTGAACTTGTCGTGTCACATCCAGGGTCTTCAAAGTTGAATTGTTGATCCATAATTGGAATCCCTAGTAAAAAAATTCCAACCATAAGTATCCATGGAAACCATCCATCCCCATGCCAATACTACCTTTTGCAAATTCCTGTATGAGATCGTTTTACGCCATGCTTCGATGCGGTTGGCATTCAAGGTAAGCTCGCGTTGCTTTGTGGCTTCATCAGGGAACACGTGACCATGGCCGAGTAAACCAGTTGGATCGTTTTGTGGATCATAGGGCCATGATAATTTAGAATGATGATACACTTCCTCTTCATAGGCTGCCGAAAGACGCACAAATCGAGCAACGTATTCCTGAAACTTGGCACGCACATGTGATTCGCCATAATGGCTCTGCACAGCTGACATGACCTATGCACATTGGTTAGCATTCCCATATCCAGCCATGCCAGCATCCTACTTACATCATTGATAAACTCTGTGTCAATATCCCGATCCCGACTTTTGTCATCCGTTTTGCTTAATGATGATGAGAGAGTACTAACGGTTGAAGAGCGCCCAATAGCCAAAGACGAAAAACCAGCATCCATATCACTCATCGAACTTCGTGGCTCAACGCATGTTGATTCTATGTCTTTGCTGACAGTGATCTTTCCAGTGCTGATGTTACACAAGACGTCCCACCAAGCTGTATGTTCTTCATAGGTTGGATTGGTAACACCTGCAATAAATCCAGGGCTGCACATACACATGTTAGCACATCCATTTGTATTTGATAATAGCCATGTCAATTTACCATTTCAGCAGATCATCAATGCTTGTCAGATTGGTATATGGGAATGCACGTTCGGTGAAACCTCTGAGAACGGTACCACATCCACTGCCGAGAGCACAAGCAGCTAGGACATAGTTGGCCACTTCGCCTGATGGATGACCATAACCAAGAAAGACGATCCTTTTCTGAGTCAAGAGCGCATTGAGCAAAAGCATGATAGGATGGGTGTAGGGTCCTGGGCTATCGAGATGCGGATGATGTGGATTGGGTGAACCAGGTTGTGATGGTGGTGGTGAAAATGTACGAATGAGATTGATAAGCGAAAACTACAAAATGATGATGGCTCAATATCAACTCTTTCAAAAAACACCCCCTTCCAGAAGAATACTTACGTCACCCACTTCCTCGTCATTCACCGTTAAGGGTACACGAATAGGTAACTTGATGCCTTCATACTCAATCTTGGTCTCAAAGAATCGACGATCTTTTCCCAATGTTGGTGGAAGCACCTCTCTCCCCGAAGCCAGATCAATGAACGTTCCTCTCCTGATTTTGCTTGCTTCATCCTCCACGTCGATATCACCCCACCTCGATTGTTGATCCGAATGCATCGATGTTGGTGACGTGACATTATCATCCGTGAACATTTCATCAAACATGGCTTTGTTGTCAGACGTCCGCAAGATTTGTCGCTCATGCCAGGTAAAGTTGGGCATTCTTGAAAGATCCATGGTATTGACAGCTTTGTACAATGATTCGAGCACTTCACGTGATGGATTCTCAAAGTACTTTTCCATAGCAAGTAGAAGCACCGGCTGCATAATAGTCATTCGTTAACCACCTATCCTCCCGTTATCAAGCCCTTCTCCCTTACCTTATAGATATGCAAAAACTGATGCTTGGTACAAATAGCCATCGCCTTGACATGGGCACCTCTTTTCGACAACAAGTATGAGATATCCAATCCTTTCCATAATGAAGCTCTTTTTCGTCTCCTTCTTCTTCTTTTACCTTCGTGCTGTCGCGTCGTGCTTGGTTCTTACAAGGTTGAGCACATACAATAAGGGCTTCTCTCGCTCGTTGCTGGTGGTCTCGTGTTCTTCGTCCATATCAGGTATCGTTTGGTTGAGGCAAAAGATAGTCCAGTCTTCAGCACGTAAATGAGCACCATCAGGCAACATGAGCTCGGACAAGACACTGTAGTATAGCGGATCGTACATTAGCTGATCAGTCACTTTTGGCATGGTTGAATAAACAGGTGGGCAATTCTTACTGTTCATCGGTTCCAGTATCTGCTGGGTATTGGTATTTCAATGATGCACCCTTGTCGATATCGAACTCTGCCAACAGAACGTATTCGACATGCTGTTGCGAGCTCATGATGAGTGTGAAAGGAGTAAGTCGTGAAGTGAAGCTGCCTCCTCAAAATCGTGTAACATGGGACGGACGGAGATGATGTGCGTGGTAATAGCGCTGCTACTTATGGCGCGCAATGTCATGTGCCCAATGTATTGGATCACTGTCACTAATATGATGGGGATCACCTACCAATAAAGTGAATCGAGATAATTGTCATCCGTGGTACAATAAAGCACACACAACATGCATACATGGCATATACCACCTTATCGGTTGTCACTTTACGATACATCACTATCATCAACAATTACATACGTACATACTATCTCGCCATTTCTTGTATCTCATTAAACCATACCTATGATTTGGTCGATAACTATTCTATTCTATTCATCCAATCTACCCACTGCTGCTGCATTAATATGGTGATCCTAGCAAATGGATCCATCCATAAATACGGTGCTGTTACCACCTCACCTATCCTTTTTACAGCACAAGTTGATTTATATGGCAACACACACACACAAAGAAGGCAGCAGTATACTATATGCGCTCTCATGTTCTCGATCTAGAGTTTAAAGGTTACCGTGCACTGAAGTTGTCGGTCCTGGTCATTTTGCTGCACCTTGATTAACGTGTTATAGTTAACCATGGATGTTGTTCTTGCTGGTGGTGTTGGTGTTACTGGGACATGTTCTATATTTGCACATCATCCCCAATGTCATAATAGAATTAATCTCTTGTTGGACTGTCACTTGTAATAGTATCATTATCATCATATTAACTTTTATGGGGTTGATGCTAGTTTTAGATGTAGAGGGATACCTTTAATTTGAGCGATATTTGACAGCAATGAGGAGGCTTTGATGCGTCACCCTGTTGGGTGGTTGATGAAATTTGGTGGAAACGGACTTTTGGTTTGTGGTCGACCACAATCAATATCATCGTGAGAGTCTACTCCAAGGCACAGTCATTATTGTCATCATGCAACCTTAACCACCCTCCGAAGCATTCTGGTGTCCCATTGGAATGAGTACTACGAGACCGTGTAAAGAATGCGTGATCGGCAGATTGAGCTTACACCATCGAGACACGTTGCTGTTGTTGTTATTTGATGATGTTATTAGCGTGAGTCCATCACCACTCGCATGACGTAGATTGCAGCCATTCTTCTCTCTTTTCCCCCTCCATCATTATGATAGCGTTATTGCCATTGAATATATGAGCTATTTTGGATCAAGGTCGTTGCATGTGATAAACATTTATCCACCCAAATATATGATTTATTTGACACGATGAACGGACATTTGCAAATGCTTCTTCTGTAGAAAACCCAGGTTGCTGGGTGGGCTGAAATTGGATTCTTTGTGATACCATTGTTCGGGTTTGGGGGTTGTTGAGGAAAAGATGGGAGGTGCGGAAACGAATAATGAGATTGGACATAGCACACATTAGACACCGCTTGGAATTGGGACAAGATTGATGCTGATCGATGATAAACATGGCGAGTGTTAGACAACAAGTAATAATGTATAATACAATAAAATCACCTGCCAAATCAATTGGGAAACACAGATCGACAAAAAGAATGGTTAGCGTTCGGCGTACCTGCAACACAGACATTACTATCAGGTAATTGTTGTTTATATATTTTGTGTAGCCATTGAATGGGAACATTTAGCTTGCCTGGACCCTTATTGTTAACAGCACACTCGTATGATCAATTTCATCTTTCTTTCCTTTATTCTACACATTCATTACTACTACTACTACTCTTCTTTTTATCCTACGCTCAATAACGTCTCAGCATAACCCGCTGCTAGTACAACATTACCCACCACGTCTCTCGATCGTCGAATGGATACCAACTATGTAACGTTTCTCTTCCGACATGAGCTCCAGATCAGGGCACGATCCGCTGACAAGAATCCTCTATGAATCAGTATGAATTGCAGGAATGGATCAATGCTTGTCGTTGCTACGACAACAGGGACTATGACAAGGCCCTTCGGATATTCATGGTAAGCAACGCGCCAAAACTTATGCACGTACCAAAAGAGGTAAAGTAAGGAAAACTGACCAAGTGTATATTTTTGTGCTTTGTGGATTATACTTAGACCATAGGCGACAACGCAAAGATGCATTTCAATATTGGCGTCATCTTTAGCATAATGCAAGATCATCACCGAGCTGTAAGTGAATCCATCAATCACAATGAAATCATCTCTTAACATTTGACACTTGCTTTTCACTCGTTCAGCTGGCTGCATTCAAAAAAGCACTGAAGATGGATCCATTCCTTGCTGTTGCATGTTTCCAGAAAGGTGTGTCACATTTCGCCCTTGGAGAAATGGATCAGGCATGCCAAGCCTTCGATCTCGCACAAAAGGTAGAGCCATGGTGATGGTGATGGTGATTTGGCATGTTTATTAATTAATGAGCCATATGATAGAAATTGCGTGGTAATCCCATCATCAATTATCATCAACTTGGCTTGGCTTTTCGATTATACGAATGCGAGGTGCTATTCAACCGAGGCATTTGTCATCTCAACATGGGGAAAATTGATGCAGGGTTGACCGATCTCTATTTTGCTCAAAAAGCCAAAATGACCGAGGAGCATAGCGTAGTCGACCAAGCAATCCGTGACCGTGGAGATGGATATTCAGTATACTCGATCCCGCCTGGTGTCCTCTTTAGACCCCCTGAATACAAGGTTCAACAACTACGCGGAGGTGGATACACTGGCACGGCTGCATGTGGAGGTGCCAAGCGCAATAACAACTCTATCTTGGTACCACCGGTGCATCAACACCATTGGACACAACATTTGCCAATGATTGATACCACTCACAGGAAGCCAACAACAACAAAATCAAGAGCAACAACAGAGGATGTAGCAACAACACACAAAGCACGTCGACCTAAGCGACCCCCAGCTGCACCACCCCTGTTTGAAAATGAACGAGGTATGCTTCAGGAACAACAACAACAACAACAACCACTGTCACCACCATTATCACCGCCACCACCATCAAAAACTACTACCAAACCTACCGAGATGCAGGGATGGAAATTTGTCGATCAGCGACAGCAACAGTCAAATCCACAACCCGCTGTAACGCGACAACCATCACTTAGCAACACCCAAAACACTGGATGGCTTCGACCCGAGGTGGAGAAGAAACTTTTGCATGACAACACCACATCACATCATTTACAATCACCATTATCTATACCCAAAGTCCATCATAACAACCATCCATATCATGTCAATGTTGCCATGGATACCATGAGTAGCTATGGTGATGCATTGGACGAAGAGCTTGAAAAAGTCTATGCAAACCTTGATGCCTACCTCAAGAATGACCTGGTCAGTGATGCTGAACAAAGTACAAGTAGCAGTAGCAGTAGTAGCAGAAGTACCAGTGATTCATCGACACAATCAACACAGCAACAAGATACTATTACTAATACGAGGAAACCGGTGGTGCAGCACAATCAACACAACGAGCTACCTTGCTCAATGAAAAAAGAGAAAAGCAATACTTCTACGCCATCCAAGCTCAAGATCAAAGCGCATTATCATGACACACGCGTGCTTGTGGTACCAGGCGATATACAATTTGATAATCTGCTGGCCAGAATACGAGTCAAGTTTGATTCAGCACAACCACTTCGATTACAATACAAGGATGAGGAAAATGAGCTGGTGCTCATGATTGATCAAGATGACCTTGCCATGGCTCGTCATATCGCCCAACTACGTAGCAATCACAAAACATCGCAATCATCAAGCGGTTTGGAAAAATTGGAATTGTGGTGCCTTGCATAGCCATCTCTTTCGCCCACCCAATACAGATAGCAACCTTTGCTAGTATGTAGCTTTTGACTTGTCTTTGCAATAACAACATTTTTCAACGCCATATTTGGAGAAATTTAGAGTCCTTGCATATGATCATGTATAATGGGCGCATATAACAACAACAACGTCAAATGCTTCCCACCCCTTTTTTATTTTACAGAATACACGATACGTACAACGATAAAGTAAAAAGAGGCAATCGGCCTGTGACGCTACTTTTTTATCTTCTTTAACCCGTTTCACGCCAACCAACCCCCTCACATATGTATGCATACATTGCACATACACACACGCTCTGCTTGCGAATCCCGTTTACCCCAAAGGGGTGGATATACAAACCCCTCACTTCAATCTCTCTTTCTCTCACACATATGCAACGCCCGACTACATACTACATACATACATCATTGCTGCACGTATCCACATCTATCATCTATCGCTGGGTTTTTGATTTTGTATATAAATACACTACTTTTAAACAACAAGACATCGCTCACCTACTTTTTCTCTTTACTTGTGTGCGTGGATTCTTCTTTCTCTTTATTCAAGCATTATGATCCAAATCTCATCCTTGATGGTTACCTTTGGGCTCTCGTTGCTGTTATGGCCCAACGTCATGTTATCCAATGCTCATCCACTTGTGCGACGTGTGGAGAACATTGACATTCAAGTGACATCCAACGATAACTTTTGCTCCTACCTTCCTCCATCACCAGGTGAAACCATTGCCAAAGGAGAGGGCAATGCGGTGCCATTTTGTACTCAGAAACAGGAACCAGGAACACGTACTTTCCCTGAAGGGTTCATCGTTTCATCCCACTTTGATCAGACAGACACCTACGTTCAGGTCACGGGGCGCATTGACCCATCGAAATATGAGTTATCGGAATCGGATGGAGGTGGTCAATACGATAACAAGGCAAGTAAAACATGATGTTGTACAGCTACCATGTCGTTCCCAAGATCTAACCATTGTATATAGAATGAACACGGTGGTACATGCAATGGATACAAGTACTGGGTTAATCTTGTTGAGCCTGCACAAGGCACATTTTGTATTCGGTGTTGTGAAAATCGCGACGATTGTAATACTGGCATATCAGAAGCCGGTTGTGAAGGCATCATCAAAGGTGCCGATTATAGCTAATGTGGCCATCATCTCGCCTTACATTGTATTGTGTAGTACTGTCACTGTCATAAGCATGCGTATAATATCTTTTGTTACAAGTTCTTTTACATGTATCCATGTTTAATAAAGATGTGGCATCTCATGAAAAAGGCCCATGCTATGCGTATAACTGTAACTCTGTTAGTGTACTGTACCATCATTTGTGGTAAGAAAAGGAGGAGGTGGAGATGTCGACACATACAAAGGGATCATCCGAGAGGGTTAGAACACATGCACCACAACCACAACCAAGAAGCGGTCAGAGCCTTAGTGAGGATAAAAACTTGGTTCTGTATGTGTCTCTTTTTTATCCCCTGCACCGAGAGGATCAGTCCAACACACAAGCTTTGCCATCCCTGTTACGCTCGGATGTATTTCCATAAACGCAGTAATAAACAAGAAACATTCAATGGGATTGCTCCAATTTGCACACTCCCTTAAATAATGACATGTAATCACCCATTTGCTATGTGCACCTGTCAAACAAGGATGATGCCATTAGCACGTATGATGTAGAATCGATCGTCATCATCTTTGGATCAAAACATAAACGTATGATGATATGCATCTCCCTTTGTTTTTCTTGCCACATTTTACTCTGTGTCAGCACCTACCACCGGCAAAAAGGGTATTCTAAAAGTACGAATGCCACATTGCATATGCATCAACGTATCGCATTATACTATGGCGTGCTTGTGTATACGACCCCTGACATTCCCTTTTCGATCGGGAAAAAGCGGTCGAGATCATCGTGTAAATCAAACTAAATCTATGAGCCATTTATATGAAAAGGATCATCGCTTCACGCGTTGTCCATTTAACTTTCTCCATTTCTCGTTTAGAATGTTGTCATTCATGATCATGCGTCGAGATATCGCCATCATAGCTGTTACAATAACAAAAGCCTTTCCTTCTCTATGCATCGTTAGTGGTTCTCTACGTAAATAAGGCAACCAAATAAAAGAGAGAAAAAAAGATCAGCAACATGCTTTAGATCGATAGGTTACACATGTCCAACATGGAAGTCGGCATGAAAGATCTCATTTTCCAGCCAAACATCAACAACACACCAACTCATTCAATGATCTTACTGGTCAAAATTACACACAAGTGACCCCTTTTGTTCCACTAGGAGGGGGAAAAAAAAGACCCAAATCATTGTAGAGACGCGACATTGCAAAAGCATGACCCAGAGTGCGTGTGCGTGAGATCATCCCTCTCCCCCAAACCTTCTCCTCCTCCTTGACAATAGATAACCATTCTCTATTCCACAAGAACCAAATTCATATTCATTCCTGTATTCATTATCGATAAACTGAAGTATCCTGATTGACTGCTGTAGAAGATCGCTTCTTCATAGCCGATGAACTATCATCTTCAACGGATGAGGGTTGTTGTTCTACTGCTGTTCGGTTGACTGATGTGCTAGATCCATTCGATGTGGAAGATGAACTTGAGCTGGATCGACGACGTAATCGTAAATTGTGCACTTGGAGATGGTGATGGTGATGGTGGTGATGATGATGATGATGATGGTGAGATGACGAGGAAGGAGATGATGGTACTACATTGCTGGATTGAAAGCAGCTATGTCTTGAACCAGCAGTATTTGAAGCATTGGCAGAGGGCGAAGTCGTGAACATATCAACCACGGATGGATTGTTTGTTGTTGCAGCGGATGTAGAGGAGGATGGCGAGATGGATGAAGAGGATGTTGCCGTAGCTATGGATGGGACAACAGCTGCATGTTCAGATGGGCTGTTATGATGATGGGATGATGATGATGATGTCGTTGTTGTTGTATTGGTAGATGTGAATCCAAGATGAAGATGACTTGAGCCATTGGCTGTTGTCGTATTCTCGGTTGTGGCGTTGGTGATTGTGGCACATCGCATGTGATGATATGCATAATCAGGTGTAGCTGCTCGTCTGGAATTGGAAGAAGACGAAGATGGAGCAACAGTACATGGATCGGATGATGCTGTTACTGTAGTAGCAATGGAATTGGATGAAGATGAAGATGATGCTGATGATGATGATGGCGACGTCGATGATGATGAAGATGAGGATGAAGATGAGGATGAAGATGATGATGATGGTGGATGTTGGTGATCATTCGATTCCGATATCCGAAAACATTTACTCATATCAGCAGCAGCATTACTTGAAGTTCTTCGATGATGATGTCGCCATGAAGGTGTTGAGGTGGTATCATTGGTAGTTGGCGTAGAAGTTCCACTTGGCGTGGTTGTTGTTGTGGTGGTGGTGGTGGATGATGTAGTAGCAGTAGTCGTAGTCGTAGTAGTGGAGATGTTGGCGGTGGCGGTGGATGGTGGATTTTCTGATCGAGGGGAGGAGGTAGATTCATTGTTGGTGTCATTGTTGGTGATGTGGACTGGTTGGGGTGCTCGATCCATGTTGGATTCAGAACCTGTTACTCGTTGTTGTTGTTGTTGTTGGCAACCATCAACTTGTGTTGTATCGAATCGTTGAGCTGCTCGACGCTTTCGAATCCTCAGCTTGGCACTAAGGGTTTCTTTTTCTTTCCTTGCAGCTTCTTGAAGCATCACACATTTCAACTTGTAGTCAATGTTGGCTCTGCTCTGAAGGTACATGAAGAATTCTGAGAGCTTTGAAAAGTCCCAATCTTTGGTGAATGCACGTAAGAAACGTTCACGTTGTATGCTGGTACTGGTAGAATAGGGTGGTGTTGCAAGGATGGTTGTGATAAGGGTTGCTGTGTATTGTGTTGCCCAATTGTGTGTCAAATGTCGTAATAGATAAGCTCGTTTCATATCACCTATTGACCAAAGAAATGAATACCATTATTGCCACTCCTATGATAGCCTTTCGTCCTTCCCCCCACCCCCACCCATCCCACCCAACCACAACCACCTCCTCATCCTCTTTTTCTCCGTCTTACCAGCATCATCACACCAATCCACAGTAACGTGACGGACCAAGATACTTGTGCTTTCCCAACGCCAATCACTCACTAGCCACTTTAACGCATTGGCAACTCTTTCTAGTGGATACTCATTGGCGATTCTGTGTAAATACATTGCTGTGACAAGTACATTATCCTCTGACTTGAGCCAAGAATAGAATGTTGCATCATACAATTGATCCATTCGCTTGATATTACGATGAACATCTCGCCAATCGCTCGTCTCTTCGGTTTGTGCATCGGGAATCATTTGCAAACATTGATCTAATCGATGATAAGTATCAATCTTTTGCATACTAGGCACTACTACTACTACTACTTACTGGTATCTTGCTTGACACCTGCCCACTCGGCTACTGTAAGAGCTGATAATGGAGGAGTGGGTGTGGTCATGGTAGTGGCAGTGGAGTAAAGTGAGGATGAGGAGGAATGAGAGTTGATAGTAACAGGCGGTGGCGGGGTGATGGCGGAAACATGTGCTGCTGTTGAAGAAGCGAATCTGTGAGACGAGGAAGAAGAAGAAGAATGGGTCATTGAACCATGAGTTGTTGTTGTTGGTGTTGGTGGTGGATGAGTATCAAAGTTATACGGTAGAATATTGGACATTGGGAAGAAGCGAGCGTTATTGATAGTGGAAACAAGGTGGCGAGTGTTATAGGTAAAAAGTCCAACAAGAGAGGAAGGCAGCAGCACGCGAAAAAGAGGAAAGGCTAGTATGGGGCTGGGTGCCAAATCTGATGGGCCACCACCACCGCTGTGCATGTGTGTGTGTTTGTTCTTGTTGCTCACGTTGTTGGAACTTGAGGGTCACTTGCCATACAGGGATGAACACCTTCTCGGATCCCTTCCGTTATTCGGAGCCTTCCTTACTCTTGCCTTTGTAAAAACAACAAAGACCATGTTTCTGCTTCATACAATGACATCCAAATTCATTCAATTAGCTTGCATGCTGAGTAAAACAGTGACATGAGTGTGTGTTCATTGTCAAATTAAAGATGGGATAAGAAAACTATGATGGCAATGAGGATGATGATGATGATGTGTGGTACAAATATACAATCGTCGGATGTTTGTCTGGTGATAGGTGTGTGTGTGTGTTTGTGGGTGTTTATGGGTGACGGGCTGTTGTTATTGCCTGTCAAGTAGAGGCCGCTTTATTATTATTGCAACTTCCATGGAGAATAGCTTTCACTAATTCTTGCTCTATATCGTCTATACAAGATCCCAAATTCTTTTCCTCCAAATAAGTCGTTAATGCTTCCCCTTCATTTTCTCGGAGCGTATCAATGACCTTGCGGATTTGTTGTACTTGCCACGTGGGATCGGGCTGGAATACCCAGTCTTTTTGTTGCCCAAGTCGACGAGATACACATAAAAGTAATTCCAATAGTATTGACCAATCCCATCCACTATGCAAAAGCAATAACCATTGGCATCTTCCCACGAACTCCATAGGTGACATCTCCTCTCGTACATCATCGATTGATCTTCTGACATCCTCAAGGTCGGATGACAATGACTGAAACGTTGCCTCCAAGTTGCATGCATTAGACCAATTGTGATTGATAGAGATGGTAGAACCGATATTCTCAACCTAAAATACCATGATGATCCATTAGCATACCTTGATGTGCTAATGTATGTGCATACAATACCTGATGGAACCACCCGCTCGGAACAAACAATGTCTCGCCATCCCTTTGATATAGAACGATACGCCTTGCCTTTTCAAAGTTGGGAAATTGCGATTCATCAATACTTCGGATATCATAGGCAAAGTTGTTGAGGCGATCCTTCAAGAGATCCTCTTGACCTGGAGGAAATAACGTCCACTTTTTGATACCACAAATGTTACTTGACCAAGAGTAGGATCTATGATTTGTCATGGTTACAGTGCTGCCTTGGTTACCAGCGGGACTTGGTTTACCTGTAAACATCAGCGTGCAAAGGTGTAAAAGTGCTGTCGCCTCCAATGTACACGAATTGGTAATCGTCCTTGTCTTCTCGAGTAGGCCAGTATTCATTCATCCAGTCATCTACATCAATGTAAGTACACTATTCCCAATGGGATTATACAACACTTACCTGCAAATATATCGGGCACCTTGTATGCATGATAATTGGGAAAGGCTTTGACCATATGCCAATCTTTCAAGTAATATCGCCCAGAAGAAAACATATCCACAAACTCTTCAAACTTCATATCCACACGCTTTTGGTCATTGAAATCTCGCTCTTGACAATCAGCAACTGTCACTTTGGCTTCACCAAATTGCTCGCGCAAGTAATCAAGACGTGGTTGCATGGCTGGTGTATGGGCTCCATTGGCATTGGTTGGTTCCACCCATTCTTTTCGTGCTCGCCAATCTTTGGTTAAAGCCGGGCCGATCAAGGCTGGTCGATTGGGTAACAAGTGGTTCTGAAGGAAGTGGTCGTAGCTAGGTGGCTCTTCATAATATGGCACGCTTTCCATAGCTGCTTCATGCATGAATGGTAAACAGGAAAGACCGCGCACAGTGCTCAATTTGACTGGGAATCCAATATAGCATGGACATCCACCCCCAGACGTCATCCCATCCAACAAGCGTTTAGAGCACAATCGATTGCTAGATTATCCTTCCCCGTATATCATCATCAATAAAACAGCTACTTACAATCACAAAAAAAGGAACGTATACTATGGCGTATTGGCAAGATCAAATCACCAAAGAAAGGGAGATGACTTATGCTATTCTTGAATACAACCTTCGTTCAAGATACAATGAATCAATCAGACCCTCCATCTTCCTCTCTTTTTCCTTTATCACAACATCCACAAACGTGTATACTTCTACAATCCTGCATAATCCTTTCCATAATACAATGCATCAAATGCCCTCGCACGATGAGGTCCAACTCTGGAAGAAGGAAGATCATATATAGAGACTGAGAGATGGTTCGCGTATTCGCTAAAGTAGCCTTTTAATCCAACATCATTCACAAAGAGATACATTGAGAGGTACAACGAATTGCTCCAATAGGGGTGATACATCGGTATGGGAACTTTCTATCCTTCGAGCGTTGTGCAAAGGCGAATGGATGGACTTGAGGTGGCGTGTCAAAAAATGTAGTTGGATGGTGATGATGGCTGTACATGACTGACAGGTTGCACAAAGGATGATGATAGTAGCTGCCATGAAGTAGCATAATTAGATGCACCAGCAGTCCAGGATAATGAGATCAAGGTCAAGTTGACAAAGGATGCACCCTTTTTCCACGCATTGTGTATACCCAATTCCTTCCAACACGTATGTACCAAACCATGATTCATATCCATATCCATAGGAATTCGTTTGTATCAAAGCAAGTTGCTGCACATAAATAAAGCTGCTTCCATACAATGGCTATCTGCTGTTCACGTTGCAAAGGCTGCAAGGCAAGCTGCTGCAAGTAACTCGAAACAATGGATAAAGACCTTCCTAATAGCGATTGATGTTACGTTTGTTTGTGGCAGAGGGGTGTGCAAGAGCGCGTGTGTTGCAGTAGAGTGGCAGGATTGTGAACGCTGCACGAGACAATGGAGTAAAGACCTCGCTAATAGCAACTGCTGGAATGAATGCTGTTTCGATTGGTGTGGTAGAAGAGTGTGCAAGAGAGCGAGTGCGTTGTAGTAGTAGAGTGACAAGAAGGCTGTGTACACCCCATGGAGTTGCCATTCAGTTAAAGACAATCGGATCGATGCAGTCGTAGGATTGACATGATGGGTTGAAGCAGGACAATCGTTCACATGCGGTGGATGGGGCAACAGTTGAGAATGGGAGGAAGAGGGAAGAGCTGGAAATTAAGTAGGTTGGATCTGATGTTGAATGATGTTTCTTTGTTTGAGCATTGTTCAGTCAAATCCCCTCGGATCAAGAAAGTTCAATGATGGGAATGATGGGCTGGAGCAAGACAATTGTTCGTATGCATTGGATTGGACAACAAAGGTGATTGGGAGGTGTGGGCTATCAAGTGGCAGTTTACAAATAACTTTGCCAAATGATTTTTGTGAATTTGGATGATACATCTGTGTTTGACCGTTGCTCAGTCAAATCCTCTCGGATCAAGAAAGTTGAATGATGGGTATGCTGGGATGGAGCAGGAGAATCGTTCGTGTTGTGCATTGGATTGGGAAACAAAGGTGAATGGGAGGAATGGGCTATCAACTAGTGGTTTACAAATAATTAATCAATTTGCTGCTTTTGATGTTGGATGATGTTTTTGTGTTTGAGTGTTACTTGGTCAAATTGGCTCGGATCAAGACAACTGTATCATGGACATGATTGCCTGGAGCAGGAGAATCGTTCACATGCAATGGATTGGACACAAGTAGAGAATGGGAGGAAATGGCTATTAGCTCGCATTCCATGAACCGCTTATCAGATAGGGCATACTAATGTTGAATGATTTGTTCGTTGCTGTGAACACTGTTCCCGGTTGGTTTATTACCGAGGTACTCTCTTACTACAAACATGGGTGGCAAAGGGTTGCAGGCTCCTGTACAGATCAATACTACGATATTGTAATGTGGTTGCATAAGCGTGTGAGCTTATTGTAAGATCATTAATCTATAGGTAGTGATAAGTCATTCGATGAGAAATCAAACGTTTGGGAGCGAAGCGAGCAACCCAGGCCACTAGTCAACAAGATGTCTTTGGCATTAAGTAATTTAGTTGTATTGTGATTGATTTTTTTCAGGAAAGGGGATGCACACAATTTACAATGGTATGGGAGGGGAGTAGTGGGAATAGAGGAAGAGGTAGAAGGATTATGTAATATTAACATGATGAAGGATGATGGAGGAATAAATATATATCACTTGTGAGATGAAGTCGAAAGGGTACTTCCATAGCGAGGTATACGTGATGCATTGTGTTGTTGATGATGATAAGATGGTGGACGTGGTGGATAAAAGAATCCAGTACGGCTTGGCGATGAGGAGTAAGGTGGAAGCTGTCGTCCAAACACTGGGCTACTACTACCTCCTGCTGATGATGCGATATTGCTTGGTCCTCCACTGTGATCATACCATGAGTGATTGTTGTTTTGAGCAGAAAGCACCGCCATGTACTCTTGTTCTTCTTCAGCATCCCTTTCAACCATCACTGTAAGCACCACTGCAGTGAGTAATGCGGTAAGCTTGCATATAGCATCATGGATTAGATACGCCTATATGATTGAAACGAGACTTCTCTCACATCACACATACCTTTATAGCAAGCAACAAAAGTACAGTTGCCAATATCCATTCCCGCCATTGATAAATCACGTCCACCACTGCATCCTTGCAACCAGACACTTGTTGGCCATGGCGTAAAGAAGGGCATTTCGTAACTGGCCGATCAGTAGGACTTGCATATCCACAGCAATGCAACCTGACATTCAAAAAAGTCAATAGATTAAAGCTAAATTGAAAGGTATATACTTACGATTGTTCAATGTCCAATAACAAACGATCATCGTGAGCACTGAAAAAGTCCCATGCCTTGCTTCCATAATCATCCATCTATGAACCAATGCAATGAGAAACACGCGTACGTTGCGAGACAACCCTCCATGACATACCTCTCGTCTATGTGCATAAGCAAGACCAACAAGGACTAAGCAAAAGATAAGTATCCACTTAATCCACAATGTTTGTTTATACTTACTAATTTCCAAAACAAGCATAAGGGCAATGGTGCTGCTGTAAGTTTTCAAGAAGCCTGCGTGTTCGATGTGAGCACCGAAATAAGCGATGAAAGAGATGATAGCAATGAAGCATCCAATTCCAAGCAAGGTCAATGATAAAGTGCGGCTGAATGGCGAATTGAATGTATAAGCACCTGATGACGATATTCGTTAATCAATGCACTGCCAAGCACAAAAGAATGCTCAGGGATAGGAGTTGGCTTGGCGGGTTATTCCACACACACACGCACCAGCACAACCCACACCAAGACCATACGCTCTCGAACTTACCCAGCGATAAGATACCCAGGCCAACAACCTATTATGATAGGAATGAGAAACAATGTTGTTGTAATGAGGGGCCTAAACAACCCGCAGTGGTGATAGAACAAGGAGGAACAAAGGAACACTTACCATGGCCAAGAGATGGAATAGTGTGATGGCTTCTCGCAATCCCCGTGTTCGCCGAGAAACAAATCCTTCGTCCATTGTTAGTTGGAAGAGTTGAGAAGGGTCGTAGGAAGAGAAGGAAACAAAAGAAATAGAATGGAAGCTGTCCAAGGGAAAAAGGGAATTTCAGGTTTGGAGGCTCGTGGCTCCTCTCCCCCATCATCCTGGTGCATTCTCGCTCTCACTCTCTCTCACACACACAACACCTGAAACCTATAAATGTTATGTTGGTTGTCCTTATCAAAACAATAAACTGTTTGAGTCTTTGTTAAATCGAATCTTTGTCTTGCTAAATGGAAACGCCGCTTATGCGCCATGTTGCTATGCGACATACCCACCTCAGCAACACGCCCTTGATCCATATATTCAAGTGTCCATTGTCGCAAAACATTATCATATGAGCTTTCAATGAGATTGATCTTATGACTAGGATATGAAAAGCGCTCAATCTCTTATACCAAAAGGCACATCAATATGATCGTACACTTACATTTGCTCACTCACAGAAATCAGTGGCCTACTTTGTTGGGGATGAATCACTTCGTTATCCTAATGCAGATGACAAGTATGACAATACAACCCCCGATGATACCTGATCCACAGCAAAGCACGGATCAAAATGGATAATCACAGCCTCACTTTCACAGCCAATGATATCATTGAAGATGAATACCATCTGCTGAGCGCTTTCACTAGCAACAAGTGATGATCATAAGGTAGTAGGATGCTTTCAAGATCAGCACGACAAAGCAATAACGTAGTGCTACTACCTTTAAAGAGTTTAATGATAGCGAAGAGTACATTGAAAATGAGATAAGCAAAGTGTCACAACAAGTATCTTTATGGTCAATGAGAATGTTGGTTTTGATTATGCATGGGATGTAATGGTGGCTTGACCTCACTCAATGTGAGTAATTTGAGACGGCTTTTCTGGCGGTGAATCAGGGCCAAATTTTCATTTTTTGACAGGCGATCTTTTGTTCTCCATCTTAAGCTTCTCCCCCCACACACTCTACTTTCAGCTACAAACACACTTAACAACATGTTGGTGTTGCCTGGTACCTCGGCGCTTTCGACATTTAAGGCTGGAAGTCTTCTCAAGAATATTCAATCCCAGGTTCCTTCTGTGACCAATATTGCTGGTCTTCATATCCACTTTGTTCAACCACGATCGGACGAGAGCCTCGCACAGTTGCAGAATGGCGAATCAGAACAGGGAAAGGTGTTGAGAAATCTCCTTACTTATGGCAGCAACCCGATCGCAGCAGAGTCAGAAGCCGCCATTACGTCCTTTTTGTCGAACCAAGTGCAACCTGCCAATGCCACAGTTGTTGTAGTTGTTCCACGTGCTGGTACCATTTCGCCATGGTCATCCAAGGCTACCAACATTGCCCATTTGTGCACATTGTATGATCAAGTTGAGCGTATCGAACGTGGCAGTGCCTTCATTATTACCAAGGAGGATGGATCTCAATTGACTGCTGCTGAATTGGCTGCATTTGCCGATCATATTCATGACCGCATGACCCAGAGTATTGGTACTCAACTTCCAGAATCCGAAGCTGTGTTCAAGCATGGTCAACCAAAGCCTTTGACGATTGTCGACTTGCTTGGTGGAAATGAAGGATTGCAACAAGACCCAGCTGTCGCTCGTGAGAAGCTCGTCAAGGCCAACCAAGAACTCGGCTTAGCATTGGCAACCGATGAAATCGATTACTTGATCTCGGCTTTTGTTGGCAAGGATGATGCTTTGAAACGCAACCCCACCGATGTCGAGCTCTTCATGTTTGCTCAAGTCAATTCAGAGCATTGTCGTCATAAGATCTTTGGTGCTGATTGGACAATTGATGGTGAAGCCAAGCCCAACTCGCTTTTTGGCATGATCCGCAACACCCACAAAGTCAGCCCCAATTACACTCTCTCCGCTTATTCTGATAATGCTGCTGTCATGGAAGGTTTCAAGGCTACTCGATTCGCTCCATCCATCAATGCAAACAACAAGTACGAGCACTTTGAGGAAGATGTCCATTATATTGCAAAGGTATGTATATGGATCATGTTGTGGGGCCAAATTACTTATATTACTTTATAGGTGGAAACCCATAACCATCCTACTGCTGTATCCCCTTTCCCTGGTGCCTCCACTGGTTCTGGTGGTGAGATTCGTGATGAAGGTGCTGTTGGCCAAGGATCCAAGCCCAAGGCTGGTCTCGTTGGTTTCACTGTTTCCAATTTGATGATCCCTGGCAACATTCAACCTTGGGAAACTGATTTTGGAAAGCCTGGACATGTTGCATCAGCCTTTGATATTATGATGGAAGCTCCTCTTGGTGGTGCTGCATTCAACAATGAATTTGGTCGTCCTGCTCTTACTGGTTACTTCCGTACCTTTGCTGAAGAGGTCCCTGTTTCTGAAACTGAAAAGGAGATTCGTGGTTACCATAAGCCTATCATGATTGCTGGTGGTGTTGGTAGCATTCGTCCCAATCACGTGCTCAAGAAGCCCATTTCTCCTGGTGCCCATTTGATTGTACTTGGTGGCCCTGGTATGTTGATCGGCTTAGGTGGTGGTGCTGCTAGTTCAATGGCATCAGGCCAAAGCAGTGCCGAATTGGATTTCGCATCTGTTCAACGTGACAACCCTGAAATGGAACGCCGTGCTCAACAAGTCATTGATTTTTGTGTTGCCATGGGTGATGATACACCTATCGAGTCTATCCATGATGTTGGTGCCGGCGGTCTTTCGAATGCATTGCCGGAGATTGTGCATGACAGCGACTTGGGTGCTGAAATTGATTTACGCCGTGTACCTTGTGATGATAGCAGCATGTCACCCATGGAAATTTGGTGCAATGAATCTCAAGAGCGTTATGTCTTGGCTGTTTCTCCCGAAAAGTTGAACGTGTTTGAAGAACTTTGCGCCCGTGAACGTTGCCCTTATGCTGTGGTTGGCAAGGCTACAGCTGAGAAGCGATTGGTGGTCAAGGACACTTTGCTCAATGACACTCCTATTGATTTGCCTATGCCTGTTTTGTTCGGCAAGCCTCCAAAGATGTCTCGTAAGACTGAGAGCCTTCAACCTTATCGTGTGCCTTTTGATTCAAGCCTCAAGACTTATTTGCCCAATGCACAAACCGTCAATGAAGTATTGAATGAATCTGTATCACGTGTGTTGCAGCTCCCATCGGTTGCATCCAAGTCTTTCCTTGTCACCATTGGCGATCGATCCATCACCGCTTTGGTTGCACGTGATCAATTTGTGGGTCCATGGCAAGTTCCTGTTGCTGATGTTGCTGTCACCACCAGCTCTCATGGAATGGATATTGTCACCGGTGAAGCTATGGCTATGGGTGAGCGTACTCCTATTGCTTTGTTGTCATCAGCTGCTTCCGCTCGTATGGCTGTTGGCGAATCTTTGACCAATTTGGCTGCTGCCAACATCCAAGACATTAGCCGTGTTCGTATGTCCGCCAACTGGATGTGTGCTGCCAATCATCCTGGTGAAGGTGCAGGCTTGTATGATGCTGTTCAAGCTGTTGGTCTTGATTTGTGCCCCAAGCTTGGTATTGCTATTCCTGTCGGCAAGGATTCTATGTCCATGAAGATGAAATGGAATGAACAAGGCGCTGAAAAGGAGGTCACTGCTCCTTTGTCTCTTATTATTACTGGATTCGCTCCTATCATCAACAACCACAAGACCTTCACACCTCAGCTTCGCAATATCGAAAACACTGCTCTCGTCTTTGTGGATCTTGCACATGGCAAACAACGCTTGGGTGGCTCTGCATTGGCTCAAGTGTATAAGCAAATTGGCCACGAAGCTCCCGATGTTGAGGATGCTGAGCTTCTCAAGAACTTTTTCAATGCTATGCAAAAGGTCAAGGAAGGTGATGTCAAGAAGAGCATTGTGCTTGCTTATCACGATCGATCGGACGGTGGTCTTTTCACTACTGTTGCTGAAATGTGCTTTGCTGGTCACGTGGGTGCTCAAGTTCAGCTTGATGAAATTGTTCAAAATGGCGATGTTGTTGCTGCACTTTTCAACGAAGAGCTTGGTGCTGTCATGCAAGTTGAGGAATCTCGTTTGGAAGAATTTGTATCCTTGTTGTCGGATGCAGGTGTTCCCAAGGAGGCTGTTCACAAGATTGGTACTGTGACCCTTCATGATGATCAAGATGCTATTGCCTTCAACTTTGGTAAGCAAACCGCCTTTGCTGCCAACCGAGTTGATCTTTTCCGTACTTGGAGCAAGACCTCTTATCTCATGCAAGCTGCTCGTGATAATGCTGATTGTGCCAAGGAAGAATATGACAATGTATTGGATGTTACCGATCCTGGTTTGCACTATGAGCTTACATTTGATCCTGCTATGGATATCACAGCTGGCTTGGTTGCTCAACGCCCTCGTGTTGCCATTTTGCGTGATCAAGGTGTCAATGGCCAAATCGATATGGCATTTGCTTTCCACTTGGCAGGCTTCGAAGCTGTTGATGTGCATATGACCGATATTTTCTCCAAGCGTGTGAGTCTCAAGGATTTCGTGGGTCTTGCAGCTTGTGGTGGTTTCTCATATGGTGATGTTTTGGGTGCTGGTGCTGGTTGGGCCAAATCCATCTTGTTACATCCCGAAGCTCGTGCTGAATTCTACAACTTTTTCAACGAGAGACAAGATACATTTGCCTTGGGTGTGTGCAATGGATGTCAATTTATGAGCAATCTCAAGGAACTTGTGCCTGGTGCTCAACATTGGCCACGGTTCATGCGCAACCAAAGTGAACAATTCGAAGGCCGCACTACCATGGTTGAAATTCAAGAAACCAACAACATCTTTTTGGATGGCATGGCTGGCTCTCGTCTTCCTATTGCTGTGGCTCATGGTGAAGGTCGTGTGCAATTCAACAATGCTGATGACCAAGCTCAATTTGAACAACAAAATCTCGCCACTGCTTGCTACGTTGATAACCATGGCAACAAGACCGAGCGTTATCCTTACAACCCCAACGGTTCACCCAATGGTATTGCTTCAGCACAATCTCCTAATGGCCGTGTCCTTATCATGATGCCCCATCCCGAACGTGTGGTCCTCAAGGAAAGCAATTCCTGGTATCCTGCTGATGAAAACTGGGGTCAAGTTGGTCCCTGGCTCCGGATATTCCGCAACGCCCGTAAATGGGTTGGCTAAATAGATATCTAAAACATCCTCTTTTTCTCTCTCTACGTATCTCTCTTTTTTGTCTCTTTTTCTCGCATCACAGATATATAAAAATGTTGCATACCATTGTTTCTTTCTAATATCATCTTCGTGGAACATAGTTTACACTTCCGCTATACCGTGGCCTGGTCTGCGTACATCTCATTAAATGTGTGAAACCATAGATTCGGACTATGATCTATTCTTCTTTTACAATGCTTTACAGCAATCAATAAAAGTGTTTGTTGATATACCACTTCTCAAGTACGGCAAGTTGATTCTAGAACTATAGCAATGTTTTTGTTTGATCACACAAAGAAAGCAGCCAAAGAGGATTAGATTAGATTTGGTACAAGTAGATCATGTGGTCCGTGCCGTGTCACGGTGATTGAACCCCATAGTTTTCTTTTTATACTCCATAATGGAAAATAGACGATTATGTTGAATATAGCCTTATGGTTTAGGAAAAGAGGAAAGGAGGGGGGGTGTTTGGGATAAGGAAGGGGGTGGAAGAGAATCTCTGTATACGTGCTGCAGGGTAGGATATCTGTGTAGTGGTGTCTAGGATGCATCGGACAGCAACTTACTACTTAGTCTACTCCTAGGATGAAAGGCAAGTGCTATAATAGTACCAAACCCCGAATATCGAGAGAGAGAGAGAAAAAGATCTGGCGAGTGAAGATACTTGCTTGTTTTTCTTTGGAGCACTGCCCTTTTTGATACCCTTTTACTCCCAATGCAGCAGCCCAAATTCGATATTGCAACATACCCTACTCTCGACACTATACGCTTGTTGTCATCGCTCTTGGAGCGTATGTGCTTAGCAAACGATCAATTGAACCGAGCAGTCAATACGCGCAAGGACATGGGTCGTCGAGCTTCCTCTGCTTCATTGGTGGGAACAAGGTCAACGATGGACTCTTCAACTACCTCATCAGCCACTCCTCCAACTCGATTCCACGCCAGAGCCTTGCCTACTATTGATATCTTCAGCTATCTTTCTCGCATCTTGCGTTATTGCCCGTGTTCCAATGAGTGCTTTCTCAGCTTGCTGGTCTACTTTGACCGCATGTCGAAGAATCAACTTGCCCGCACAGGAAGACCTTTCTCCATCGACTCGTACAACATTCACCGCCTCATCATTGCTGGTATCATGGTCTCGAGCAAGTACTTCAGCGACGTTTATTATACAAACACACGTTATGCAAAGGTAAGGGTGGGGGAGGGTGTGATTATGCAAGGCCTATGTATTAACTCATATACACATCGTCCTAGGTTGGTGGCCTTCCAGTCTCGGAACTCAATAGCCTGGAGCTCGAGTTTCTTGTATTGAACGACTTTAATTTATCGGTGCCTATCAGTGATTTGCAACGCTATGGTGATCAACTCATCAAGGTGGAATTTATGGAGAATGAGATGCGAAAGAACATCATGTATGAAACACCTTCCTACAACAACCCAGGCACAATGCGTCATGGCCGCTCAACTTCTCTCGGCTCGGCTGCAGCATTAGCTACACGTCAGAATATTATGGCTGAAGATCCTCAAGTTGATCAACTACGTGATATGACAAGTTGCTTATCTTTGGATGAACGCACCACTCCAACCACCACTACAACAACAACAACAGCCACCAATCAACAACATCGATCACAAGGTTTTACTTATCTTCCCAAGATCTCTCCCAACAACAACAGCAGCAACAACAACAACAATCTACAATCGGGTACTGTGCGACGCATGACCAGCTATGGCAACATGCCACCTCAATCGCCACACGCTGTGTATAACACACCAATGTCCAACCATGATAGCAGCCCTGGCACTATGGAAGGAAATGAATCCAATCGACGCCGTTCTTGTGCAAGTCATCATTCACCTGCTTATACGACTCAAGGACATCATCAACGCAACAGCTTCTTTTCGAGTGATCCATGGCGTCATTTCTCGACAACGGTGAACAACGCCCCCAATCATTCTCAGCATTATGCTCGACCTCGTCATGGAAGTATGGGATTTACCACTGCCACCACGAGTAGCAATGAATGGCAACAGTACAGACAACCACGTCAATCGAGATCCAGTGCTAGCCTTTGCCAATATGGAGGTTTCCGCAAATCGACACCACCAGGCTTGGATAACAACGGCCAATACATGATGGTAGGTGGCGAACCTTCAGCAACACCAACACAGCCATTGAGTGGTACTATGCCACCAGCATCGTACTATGCGTACATGACACATCCTATTGGTATTCCAACACCTCCACCCTCATCGTCGCCAGTGCATCAGAAGCATCAGGCATCTTCTCCTCATCCATCATCCATTGTTTATTATACCTAATCAATCGAATCTTTTTCAGCAATAACCCAACCCCCCTTGTCCCTCTATTCCTCCCCCACCGGCCCGGGGCCCGGAGGGGGCGGTGGGGGGGGAGTGTGATTGCGCAAACGGGCATGGATGGGGGCGGGGGGAGAGTACGGTGTCGT